TGCATCAAAATCAAATCAATTTGAGCGTGATTTAAACCCGGATGATTGTAACCACTCTAAGTTCGTCTGCCTTGAGAAAGCTAGCGCGTCTCCGACATAGTGATAATAACACTCGTTGCCTTCTCAGGGTTTCTGCAAATATGAACAAGTTAAATTTAAGACTTTAAGACCTTTTTAATACCACCTTATATGGAATTTAAGACCTAAACCTGTAATGGAAATACACATTTTATTACATACATTTATGTAATATTTAATGTGTATAAATTAAAAAGAAAACAAAATATCATTGCTGTAATAAATTATATTTATTACTACGATATACAGTGAACTTTTCATATCAGCAGACAATATTCCATACAAAATATCCCCGCAAAATAACTGCATCACTGAGATTTTTGGTGGAGTAAATTTATTCTGAAGCAATATTTTCATCAGTGTTCTATCAGCTTTTACATACTTAAATCTGCATATTTATGAGGACGAGTGGGACAGCGGAACCTGGATAACAACACATTCATCTTTTAGACAAATGACAGAAAACACCTCAAAATGCATGTCTACAGAAACAGTTAGGGATCTACAGGGTGCATGGAAAATAGTGCTTTCAGATTTTTTTTTTGGTCTTTTTTGTGTGTTGTGTACACAGGATTGACTTCAATGACATACTAAGCTTTCTGTTCTAAAGAAGAGGACCGTTTTGGTCACAATTGTGGCATGGTGTTCTTCATCCAATAAAAGAATGGAAGCAAACTTAACATCAGCAAACCTGAATGAACATTGTTTAGTCAGCTAGTGCAATCTTCCAATAAAAATAAGCCCAAAAAATGGATCACTTGATACAGTATCAACATACAACTTACAACTAAAAATGACTTGAACGGACTTAATATATGAACGTCATTGCATTAGATACTATTAAAATGCTTAATTAACTCAATCATTCAATCATTTTCAATTTTTTATTTTTTTTTTACACGTAATTTTATTCAAATCTATTTAACTTCAAGGAAGACAGCATAAGAAAATGATTTACAAAAAAGAATGCTAGGTATAAAATGATGTATTTGGAAACAATTGCATGTGCAAATTGCAAATGCAAACACTTGCATATCTTAAGATTCTTTTAACCCTTAAAAAAATGGTGTAGAAACAATTTTCACAATTACAAGTAGTAAATTTAGTCAATTTCACAATTACAAAAAAATGTGAAGCAACACACTGAATTAAATGTGATATTTTTAAGAAAAACTGAAATGTATTTTCTTGTAATATGCACTCCAATATTTTTGTTTTATATACAACTTCGAAAAACATTTTTACAATGTATGGTTTTTGAACACCAGTACGAACTGTGATATTGGTTGGTTAAAAGTCACAAATGACCAAGAATGATTTAGAAAAGCGAAGTCAGTTTTCAGAAAAGTTTTAGCATGATTCGTTTACCACTCTGTTTCATATTTTGTATTAAATGCAATGAAATCCAAATGCTACAGTTTATAGATTATGAAGTACAACTTTTTCACAAAATTCAACACAACATTCACCATATTCTAAACTCATAATTAAAGATAATGCATTTTGACTGTGTCTATAAACACTAGTCCATAAAATGTGAATTTCTATGAATTACCCAGAGCTAATCTCAATTACCTGCGCAGTTTGCTCCTGAATCGTTCTCCTCTCCTCCTCTTCCACACTCTTCCTGCAGCTCTGGCAGATCCACAGCGGCACCTCACCCAACAGCGACTGGGAGAGCGAAGGCACGGCGTCTGCCAGCTTGCGGCCTGGAACCTCCCTCAGCAGGGCCTGGGAGAGCGCAGGTACAGCCTCTGCCAGTTTGGACCCGTGACTGGGGAGCCCGTTCACCTGGCCTGCCCCCCAGTCTTTAAACTCCCGATGGCACAGCAAGCAGCAGGTGTGCATGGACTGTGGGATGAGAGGAAATGAGTTTTTAAAAAAAAAACAGACTGACTAGTTTAGCTAGCTACAGTCATGGCCAAAAGTTTTGGCAGTGACATAAATTTTGTGCGAGGACGAGTGGGACAGCGGCACCTGGATAACAACACATTCATCTTTTAGACAAATGACAGAAAACACCTCAAAATGCATGTCTACAGAAACAGTTAGGGATCTACAGGGTGCATGGAAAATAGTGCTATCAGATTTTTTTTTTGGTCTTTTTTGTGTGTTGTGTACACAGGATTGACTTCAATGACATACTAAGCTTTCTGTTCTAAAGAAGAGGACAGTTTTGGTCACAATTGTGGCATGGTGTTCTTCATCCAATAAAAGAATGGAAGCAAACTTAACATCAGCAAACCTGAATGAACATTGTTTAGTCAGCTAGTGCAATCTTCCAATAAAAATAAGCCCAAAAAATGGATCACTTGATACAGTATCAACATACAACTTACAACTAAAAATGACTTGAACGGACTTAATATATGAACGTCACTGCATTAGATACTATTAAAATGCTTAATTAACTAAAAAAACATATTTGAAGGTCTTACGGGGGAGTTGCCTGGCCACGGATCCAAAATTTCAACATAATGATCTTCGAGCCACTTCTTTATCACTCCTGCTTTGTGACATGGTGTTCCATCATGCTGGAAAATGCTCAGATCATCACCAAATTGCTCGTGGATCGTTGGAAGAAGTCACTCTTGCAGGATGTTTTGATACCATTCTTTATTCATGGCAGTGTTTTTGGGCAGAATTATGAGAGAGCCCACTCCCTTGGTTGAAAAGCAACCCCACACATGGATGGTCTCAGGATGCTTCACTGTTGGCACAACACAGGACTCATGGTAGCGTTCACTTTTTCTTCTCCGAACAATCGAATTTCCAGATGTCCCAAACAGTCAAAGGGAGCTTCATCAGAGAAAATCATTTTGCACCAGTCTTCTGCTGTCCAGTCCTTGTACTTCCTGCAGAATTTCAGTCAGTCCTTGACGTTTTTCTTGGAGAGAAGTGGCTGCTTTGCTGCCCTTCTAGACACCAGGCCGTTGTCCAAAAGTCTTGGCCTCACTGTGCATGCAGATGCTCTCACACAAACCTGCTGCCATTCCTGAGCAAGCTCTGCACTGCTGGAGACACGATTCCGTAGCTGACTCCTCAGGAGGAGACGGTCCTGGTGCTTGCTGGACACTCTGGGACGTTCTGAAGACTTCTTCACTGCAGTCGAACCGCTCTCCTTGAAGTTCTTGATGATCTGGTAAATGGTTCTTTCTTTGCAATATTCTTTGTAGCAATTTCCTTGCACGCGAGGCCATTTTGATGCAAAGCGATGATGGCTGCACGTGTTTCTTTGGAGGTAACCATTGCTAACAAGAACACAATGATTGGAAGCGCTTCTTCCCTCCATCAGTCTGCTCTTACAGTCTAATTATACTGAACAAAATTATAAATGCAACACTTTTGTTTTTGCCCACATTTTTCATGAGCTGAACTCAAAGATCTAAGACTTTTTCTATGTACACAAAAGGCCCATTTCTCTCAAATATTGTTCACAAATCTGTCTAAATCTGTGTGTGAATGAACACCACAACAGCTTAAGCTGCAAACTTTGCAAAACACAAAATTGATGACACTGCCACAACTTTTGGCCATGACTGTACATCCATAACCCAGTAAATAATAATTATTTGACAAAAATAACTATTTATTTTCATACATTTTCAATGCCTGAAGATCAAAAATGTAAAGGGTTAGTACACCCAAAAATGAAAATTCTGTCATTAATTACTCACCCTCATGTCATTTCAAACCTGTAAGACCTTCATTCATCTTCGGAACACAAATTAAGATATTTTTGATGGAATCTGAGAGCTGTCTGACCCTGCATAGCCAGCAATACAACTGAAATGTTCCCAAGTCCAGAGACGTAGCAAGGAGATCTGTAAAATAATCCATGTGACATCAGTGGTTCAACCGTAATTTTACGAAGCTATGAGAATACTTTCTGCGCAAAAGAAAAAAAAACGACTTTATTCAACAATTAATCTCCTCCGTGTCACCCTGTAGCATCATTTTGGAGAATATCCGCTGAACGTAAACAGCGTATGCTGTTCTGTGTCAGCTGCGTCACACGGATATGCTGTTTTTGTTCAGATCAAATCACAACAACATAGGAAACAGATCCGGCGTGACGCAGCTGACACAGAACAGCATACGCTGTTTACGTCCAGCTGATACTCTCCAAAACGGCACCAGGGTGATGCGGCGGAGACAATTTGTTGAATAAAGTGGGGTTTTTTTTCTTTTGCGCACAAAAATTATTCTCGTAGCTTCGTAAAATTACGGTTGAACCACTGATGTCACATGGATTATTTTACAGATCTCCTTGTTACGTCTCTGGACTTGGGAACATTTCAGTTGTATTCCTGTCTATGCAGGGTCAGACAGCTCTCAGATTCCATCAAAAATATCTTAATTTGCGTTCCGAAGATGAATGACGGTCTTACGGGTTTGAAACGACATGAGGGTGAGTAATTAATGACAGAATTTTCATTTTTGGGTGAACTATCCCTTTAAGACCATAGGAACCGCAGATATAAGTGGTTCAGTGGTTGGTAGAAACATTAAAAAAGGCATCCAGTGGAGTAAAATTCAGTTAAATGAGTTCATGAATTACATTTTTGTTCATATTACCTTTCATTTTCTACAAGGAAATAAGAACTGCAGACAAAATAAATATTTGCTTGCTTATGTCTAAAGCTTATTTTAATTTGTTCTAGATCATTAGAGATAATGTTATGGTGCTTTGGAAGTCTGTCTGAAACAAGTGTATATAAAACCTTTACACAAAAACGCTGTCTGTCAAGTCAATGACTGACTGGTCAGCGGGACAAGCTTTTTATAACAAGAACTCAATAATTAAAGCACGATTCTTTACAAATGAGCTGTTATATTGCAAAACAGACGTAAATCACAACACAAATATAGGTGTTATACATAGAGCTGTTCCAACATTAAAATTATTATAGAAAACTGAAAAGGTTCAGCAAGACTACTGTAACACAAAACCATAACGTTAAATACATCAGCTCAAATATTATTTATGTTTTTGTGCATCGGAAGTGCAACATTTAGAGTGTTTAAAGTATTAACAATCATATTAGCTGGTTGGTAACCACGAAAGGCTACCAGAACTGAACCTTATGGTAATAACGCAACTCTTTGGCACGTAGTAAATATGCCTCCATAGTAATTTAATGCAAAAACACATGGTAATTATGTCAGAACAAAGTGTGACTCCATGGCTGGGTTAGTAGCACCGCGTTAGCCTAATCTCTACAGGAATAATTTAGTAGACGACAGCAACATAACACACTGTTAGCTTTGTGCTTCACATACTTTCGTTTAGCTTTCTTTAACCAGCTATACATATACAATCAGTTTCGTATAAGACATTCAGATGAAAGGTACTGCACTGCTTGAAGCTATTAGACTGATTTGAAGGCAATATATTTATTTATTTATATCTTTGCATAGGTGGCGAGCGAGCTAGTGCTGCTCCGCCCGTGCAGCGCGAGACCAAGCGTAGTGATGAGAAATCCGACTCATTTCCGCGAAACGGTTCATTCGAACAGTTCGTTTCAAAGAACCGGTTCAAAAACCGATTCAGAGATTCCTTTACGTCCGGACGTAAATACGATATCACGTCGTCCCTGACATCCCAGAGCGGCGTAATCTGCACATACTGATGTCAAGCTTTTTTGTTTTTCTTAAGTTTTTAATAAGCATGTTTAGTGTAATTTCATGCGTCTCATTTATGTTCGTTTTAGACGTGATTTAGCTCTCTAAAGTCATTTATAATGTAAATATAATTTACATTAAGCAATACAAACTCAATTTACACATTTCAGAAGACGTTTTATTAAAACGCTGTTGTTCGAGTAAACACTTTTCATTAAAACAAACTGTTTTGTTGTCAACATATTTCCAACACGTTTTTTTTTTACCATCTTTGCTCATAAAATAAAATACTTTTAACTCTATCTATCAACAATGTCAATGGAAATGTTCTGTCAGTTGTTTTGATTCGAGAACTGTTCTGACAGATTCAGTCCGCTTCGTAAACGAATCCTTTAGAACGATTTGGTGAACCGATTCACAAAATGATCCGAGTGGTTCATGAATCGGACATCGCTAACCAGGAGCTACAAAACGCAAAATAAGCGCGAAAACACAAATAACTGCATGTGCAACAGAGCCCTAGATATAGCGCCCGTAAAAATAGTTTAAAATCAAGTCGCTAACAGCGACAACCGGCTCAAAGAGGTGTGTTGTTGGATGTACGCGTTAGCATTAGCTACCTGATTGGTCCTGCTCGCTCCTGCATCTCCTCCGCCGCCAGCGCCGCCTCCTGCTGCCGCCGCTGCCGCTGCTGCTCCCGCATCGCCGGGCTTCTTCGACTGCTGCTGTCCCGATACTAAATCCTTGGCCCCGACGCCCTGCTGCTTGCTTTTTTTTCTCGCCATCGCTTTAGTCCGTATTATGCCCGTCGGCTGGTCTCCAGGTTCGGTGTAGAAACACAGTTTCGGTTCTTGCAGGCAGTCGCGAATGCTCCTGTTCTTTCACAAGGCAAGATAACAGTGAGTATACAAGAAAGAGAGGATCAAACACAGGAACCCATTCCAAACCATGTCAACAAATCAAAGAGATCTGTACCTGAAAAATTGGCGATGTGTGTGCATTCATCCATAACACCCTTCATGAAGCAGAGAGACTCCCGCTGCAGCGAATGCCACTGACCAGCCCCGCAGGTGATGTTTTTAGCATGCAGCATATCCAAATGAGGCCCGCTGCTGCTCACAGCGGACAGCATCTGATCCAGCCCGTCTCTCTCTCTTCGGCCCATCAGTAGAGCTGAGTCTGAGGCGTGACCTCCAGTCCCAGGCTGAGAACAAGAGGAGCGCAGCCCCATCTGGTGGTCCCTTTCTGGCGAGTGGAGGTCAACAAGGTCACGGGTAAGATCCAGGTCAGAGAGACTGTCAAAGCTGCCTGGGACGTTTTTTACGAATTCCTGGCCCATCCGGAAAGAGTCTGTCTGAAAATCATGGGTGTGTCAGTGAGTGATTCACCAAAAATGTTGCACCTTCAACACGAGTCATGTGATACACTATGTGAGGAACAAATCATATCTCCTTCTGTGATCTTTTGTGGTGTCTTTCATATAAAACCAAGCTAAACTACAACAAAACAGAATAAACGACCTACCCCACAATACTCCAGCATATTGATGATTTCTTCCTCATATACTGGGTGTGCGCAATACTGCTTTTCCAGTTCTTTCCAATTCACAGCTCGACTTAAAACACCCTGCAGAAAAGCAGATACATTTTTAATAGATTTTAAAAAACGAAACAGAAAAAAAGGAAATAATTTCATGTATTTTAGGTCAATCAAGCTAAAATACCTAAAATTATTCAACTGAAAAGATGAAATACTCCAAGGCACTCATACAGTAAAAATTAAAAAAAAGCCTTTAACTAACTGGGGTAAGTCACCTAGTTACCCAAGTTATCTAAAACTTTTATTTTGAGTCTATTGAATCAATCAATGAACAACTGTAAATGGGAGTGAGTGACACTTGGTGTCTATATTACCATGTTCTGATGCTGTTGATTCACTGACACAGGAATGAAGACGGAAAGGTATTCATAGCTATGAAGTTCAGTAGCTAAGTGACTAATGCTGCCTTAAGTCCTGGGAAATTCCTTCATACCAGGGTTATTACAGTTAACTAAAACTCAAAAAAAAAAAAATGTTGTTACTTAAAAAATTAATGCTAACTGAAATAAAACAAGAAAACGTATTTTATTTCAACTAGTTGCCATGGCAGCATTACTAATTTTCATTTAGTTTATCAGATGTACTAAAATAAAGCTGAAATAAAATGTATCAAACTATATAGAATTAAAAAAGACAAACACAACAAATGTATTAAAAATGTACAAATTAAAAAGGAAATATTAATAAAACATATTCTTAACTGATAATGATATAACACTGCTACATACTTTCACTTTCAATTTTCATTTTCTGACAAATATACTGTAAGTTCAAAGGTATAAGCTCTTCAGAGATAATGCCATAAATTGATTGGGCAAAAGCTATGCATTAGGTGTGTAATCGCTTACATTCTTGTGCTTCCAAAGTGTCTTACATTTCATAAACTCGCTAAATAAGCAGTATTTTCAAGAAAAAAATTATAGTTATTGTTCAATAAAAGATCACAAAATACATCACACTAAAAACTTAAACTCAATTTTGACCAATGACTGACTGACTTGATAAATCTGAGCTAAAAACAAGTTTGAGTTTCTCTCTGGTAATTATGATTTTGTAACATCCTATAAATATGACCAATCCGAATTGACTTGTAGGCAACACTAATACAACTTAAATCTTACTGTGGTAAAAACACTTGAAGCAGTCGTCCAGGATAAACAAGGTATGAGTGGAATTGGTTTGGGCCAGTTTGTTACAGCTAATGATGCCATCTAGGATGAAAATCAACAATAGATATTGTATATATGTTACACAGGATATGGAACAGGTTCTTCAGAACAAATTTGATTAGAAACAACATGAACGAATTAAGTCAAATGTTAATGAGGTGCGCAGAACCTACATGTCCGCCCATAGAAATGCCAGTCATGCCTAGAGGCCAGAAACCCTCTCGCTCCAGCCAGTGTAACAGTGCAGAAGACTCCAGGATCAGCGCTCCACCCATCACAAACAGGTCTGAGACGTTCTTCAGACTGGAGCGACTGCATCAAAAACACAAATCATATACATTGTAAACATGCAATGTTCATTCGAAAGACATGGACAGCAATAGTTGCTGCAGGTAAACAAACACTCACAGCTGGTCTTTAGGTTTCCTGTATCCGTGTACGGCGCAGAGTCAAGGAGGTGTCAGATAAGATCTAGTAATTCTTGACACTAGGCTTTACATGGCAAACTAATGTGTGATCTGTAGTTTAACATTTCTAAGGATATAATAAGGATTCTCCAACAGTAGAGATGCCATCCCTGATTCTTTAATCATTGGTCTGGCCATTAGTGTTCGTCTTCTCCAGAAAAACTGCAACACACACACACACAGACACAGACACAGACACAGACACAGACACACACACACACACACACACACACACACACACACACACACACACACACACACACACACACACACACACACACACACAGACACAGACACACAGCCACACAGCCACACAGCCACACAGACACACAGACACATAGACACATAGACACAGACACACAGACACACAGACACACAGACACACAAAAAGAGATGCATCAAATTCAAATAAAATCCTAGATAATACTTACGGCCAATAATTGATCATTTTTCACAATCTTAAAGGGGTCATATAATGCGATTTCCATTTTTCCTTTCTCTTTGGAGTGTTACAAGCTCTTGGTGCATAAAGAAGATCTGTAAAGTAGCAAAGACTAAAGTCTCAAATCCAAAGAGATATTCTTTATAAAAGTTAAGAGTCAACCACACCTACCTAAAACGGCTCGTTCTAACACGCCCCCACATGTCTACGTCACGATGTGGGAAGATTTGCATAACGCCGCCCAAATGTTTACGCAAAGAAAGAAGGCGTAACTTTTATTCTCACTGTAGTAGTGTTGCTGCCGCCATGTCGTGAAGGTGCTGTGTTTCGTTGTGAAAGCGAAACTACTTTGGTTTGCCTTTCTAAAAGAGGACGATATCCGCTTCGTCATGCCTAGAGCTGAACCATGCTGGTCACTGAGGAAATACATCAACTTCACGCTATGGATCGCCGGATCGGCTTTCACCGTGGACGAAGCGGAGTCCAGCCCGGGGTCGTCATATGTGGTTGCCGCAAGACCGCCGGACGCTCCTTCGTCGAATCCGCCGAGCAATTCAAACGAGAGTTTTGAGCAGTGTAGAGTAGCACTTGTTGTTTGTCATTTCTCCGATCACAAATGCAGACATGGTTTTATGTTTACACGGCGTGATGCAATGCAACGTGTAAAAAGACAGTATAAATCATTATAATCCGTAATTATGTCCCCACTGAATGCAACAAATGCCTCGTTTATAATGGGTTTTTATGTTTTTGTCTCTTGCTCCGGCCGAACAGGGCACCACAGTATGGTAAGGGGTGTAACATTTCCGTCACACGCTTGAGGTATTCGGCCAATCACAAAGCACTGGATAGCTGGCCAATCAGAGCACACCTCACTTTTCAGACCGATGAGCTTTGTAAAAATCGACACGTTTCAGAAAGGCGGGGCATAGAGGAGAAACAATAATGTACAGTAAAATAACCAATTATAAAATTATAAAATATATATAAAATAACCAATATTGACTAATATCAATCAATAAAAAATAAATTCTAATATCAGCTGAACTATATGTTACTGATGCACTACTTTTCAAAAGTTTCGAATTGGTAAGATGTTTTTTGAAACATTTGTACAGTAAAAGAGTATATTGCACAAACACTCCCAGTTTTTGCACACTCACATGGTCTCCTGTTCCAGCCAGGTGAATACAGACTGGTCTGTGCCTTTTCCATTTCTTAGGTACAATAAACTGGAAACTAGTGGGAAAGTTGAAACAAAATGTCTTCATTTGAAAGAACTTTCAGTACAAGCCACACAATAAGTCACATTAATCCTTCACATTTGCATTCAGTGTTTGTGGGTGATTTGTTTTGGTTACCGGGCTTTGACGGACTCAGCTGGCAAGATGCCCGGGACAAAGTGCTCCAGCGGCGATATGAAATGACCATTGTGAATTTTGCAATCTGTGTGATCTTCTACCTTTGGGCACAGCGGTAACACACAGTCAATGGGTCAGAATGCAATTTTCAATTATTCTGAATAGGTGTTTATTTTAAAAAACAAATGTAGATTTTTAAAAAAATTGTGTGTGTGTGTGTGTGTGAATACATTTTTATATATAGATAGATCTACCTTGTCAATAAATACTGGGTAGTCCCTCTGTACCAGATCCTTGTATCTCTCCCTGTTGCCAATAATCTTCCGGAACGCAAATATTCTGTAATATCCATAAAATAATTATATAATAAATAAATAATTAAATAATTGGGATCACTCATTGTTTTTTTTTTTGTTCATGTCAATCTGCTTGATAATGGCATACCTGTCACTACTAAGAACTTTTTATGCATATTGTTTTTACATGAATTACTATAGATATTTTCTTCAACAAATATTTTCTTTTTTTTTTTATACATGTTTTTTTTTTAAGGCCAAACTATGGATTATTTAGTATTATGCGGCCAATTGTGTAGTATGCCACTGTCTGTACTCAAAACGACTAATTTCTAAAAATAATTTTTACGTTTTATTTTTACATATCATTTGCATTTTTGGTTTTATTCTGTATATATTCATTGGGTTTGATCATACATCCATATCTGTCTTCTTTGGAAGATTCTTTTGGTACAATAATCTTTAAAGTCCACCTTTAAATGAAATATGAACATAATTCATAACACTCATGCCACCACTAATTACTATTTAAGGATAATTATTTAATCATACCGTAAGTGAAGTCATTGAAGATTCATTGTTTCATTTTTTGTTTAGTTAGTTCGTTAGTAATTTACCTTTTCAGGTCCTCTGGCTTTCCCCATCCTTGAATGAAGAGTTTGGTGAGGAGAAGCCTTCTATACAGAACATCAAGCCGACTCACACCCATTGACAAAAAAACATTATTCTGCAAAAAACAAAATACACTTAATCAGAACTTGACAAGTCATAATCCATCAGTCAGTCAGCCTTATGGCTTTACACATTCCAATATATAAGAACTGAGCAGCTGAGTGGGTTTAGGAGCACAACACACAACAAACTAACAGAACTCCTGCTAGACAGTGCAATTGACATACCAATGGTTATCAAACTTTACAGGGCGCTTGAATTTCCTTCGTTTCTGAATGCGAACATAACCTCTCATTCATGAATGATAGTACTGACTAGTTACTGAGCAAGCCCTAACCAGACAGTGACACTTCAATTCAAGTTCTTCTTGTTATTATGACCTTAAAATGATTATCTGATTTGTCATATTGTCCCTTAAAGAAGAAAAGTGTGTGAACATCCCACACTGACCGTCTGTTGTAAATCTAATCAGCTGTCAGAGAGGAAGCTGCAGTAGAGTTGCATATAACGTTATGGTTTGACAAACTCTGCTTGCTTTTCCAAGCCCACAAAAGACTTTAAAACAAACTGCGTATGGATGAACGTAAAGAAATAAGTATATACCTCAAGCTAAAAGGACGTAGATGTGGGTGTCTTTGAAGAAACCGGATCAGTACACATGACAGAGGGCGAATTCCATTTGACGGTGCAGCGCCATCCCAGCTTTCACTCACTGCCGGAAGTAACTCTTCTTCTACGCTCATGATCGGCGGTGCCATCATGTTGATCACTGTTATTCAGTTGCACCAGTAGATGGCGGTGCTGTACAGAATAATTTAAAAGTCGCGCTCTACAGTAGCAACTCCCCAGGATTCCTTTCAGATTTACAAGTGTAATTTTAAACCAATACTATAGATCCAATTATATTTATAGGACTCCAATATAAACTAAATATTAAAAAGCTCTATTTCCAGTAGAACTAACTATTGGACATCCAAAGGAATTTAAAGATTTCTAGACTTTTAAAACGTATTGCCCCAGCTGAAGTTTCCCACCCTATCCTTTTAAGTTAAGACAATTCTTATATAGGCCTATTTATAGTTATAAAACCATTTATTTTAGGAATATATTTACTTCATCATTTTGCCTATTAAAAATTGCAGTCAATTTTATCTTTAGCATCACTGCATAGCAGTTAACTTGGTTTAATAACCAGACATGTTCACAAGTCTTTTTTTTTTTTAATTAAACACATGTCAAGAAAAAGAGCAAGAGGTTCAAGGATGGACAAACAATACATAGCAATTCAAATTCAAATGAGATAGAGTGGAAGTTGTATTTTCTAAGCAAAAAATTAAAATAATAACGTAATAAATAAATATATAAATGATAAAAAAAATAAAATAAATAAGCAGATCACATAACAATAAACATATAAATTATAAAAATTACACAAAAACATCAAAAAGTGAGCATACATTCAAAGTTTTAGTTGCTTTTTTGTTACAGGAGGTAGAAAAATATTTAATTTTAGATTTTAATATCTTCTTGAAAGTAAGAAAGACATGTTCACAAATCTCTGAGGTCCAAGTCCAAGTCAAGTCACAAGTAGCATATTTATTATGCGACTTAAAGGGATAGTTCACTAAAAAAATGAAAATTTGATGTGTATCTGCTTACCCCCAGGGCATCCAAGATGTAGGTGACTTTGTTTCTTCAGTAGAACACATATGATGATTTTTAAGTCCAGCCGTTGCAGTCTATCAGACGTATAATGCATGGCAATAGTAACAAAATATGAGAGTAAAAAAAAAACATGCACAGACAAATCCAAATTAAACCCTGCGGCTCGTGACGACACATTGATGTCCTAAGACACGAAACGATCGGTTTGTGCCAGAAACCGAACAGTATTTATATAATATTTGACCTCTAATACACCACTATGTCCAACTGCTTTGAGCGCGCGCACGGCATCCGCGGCGTGAGGTGTGTACGCGCTCTGGCATAGTTTACGCAAGCGCCGGAAGTGATCTCTCGCTTGTATACGTCACTCATAGTGGCGTATTAGAGGTAAAATATTATATAAATACTGTTCGGTTTCTGGCACAAACCGATGACTCGAGTCTCCATCTCTGTTAATAACACACTTAAACATGTGAAACAATGCTACTTGAATTAGGGGAACTTTTATGTCCTCTAAGATGATTTTAAAATTTATTATACACTTTAAAAACTAGTGTTGAAATGTTAAAATTGAATGAGCACATGTTTTTTTTATGAATAAAACAGTTTACATTTTTCCCCAAGATTCAAGTGGGTAATTAATTGAAATATACTTGCTCCCAGTGTCTGTAGGTGAATTCATAAATATCTGAACATTTCCCATTTTTGTCAGCGAAATTGAAAACGAATAAAATAAATGCACGCAGAATAGCATGCAAGTTACTTACATCCAGGCTCCGCCTATGTCCTGCCTACAACCGATAAATTATGCAATGTTTGCACGGCGTTTTTCACATGCTGTTCACAAGCATGTTTTGCCTGTAGCTATAGTGTCTTGCAAACGTTTCTTTAGTGTAATTCATTTGTACTCGATCTCATATCAGAATAACGGGATGGTTTTGATGAAGCCACTTCTGCTGGATTACAGTCAGGATGTTTTGTCCGCAGGGGCTGCTGGTTTGAGCACTGGTTTGTTTGTTTGTTTGTTTGTTTGTTTGTGGGTGAAACAAGCGGAATTTATCATGGTTGGCCGGGTGCCAAATGGAGGCGCGACATATCGGTCAGGTCACCGAGGATACTAATAGTGAAGAAATAATGAACTCTTTTAATTGTTCTTATCTTTATTCTTAAGATGCAACTTTGCTTGCTGGTGTGTTGCTGTGTTAGATTCAGCCCTGATCCCGTTTAAAACTCTCGCTGCTCTTGCTTCATTCGGATCGCTTCAGACGGAAACGTGTGGTCTGTAAGCATGGCAGGCATTCCCAAATCTTTCACTCATGTGTTCATAGGCTTTCTAATAACTGTAATCTCAAGATTAAGAGCCAGCTCTCTGCAGCAGGTTTTCGTGAAGGATATTGTAGCTGTTTATGGAAAAAACGGTTCACTGGATCTCAATGGCATTAACAGTTTATTGGAGACAATTGTGCAAGACAAATTGGATCCGAACATTCCTCTGCATGCTCAGGTAATCTGTCACTTTAGTTACTGGAAGTTATAGATATTTTATATAGGCATTTGACTGTGTGCCACACATCTGAGAACATAGACAAAAACATTCATAATGTATGATTGGACTAGTTTTGTCATTCTTAGCTTTGTTTCATTGACTTGACATTGTCCCTGTTTATCAGTGTGTGTCCGGAGAAGATATTCTGGTGCACTATGGGCTTCAGAACCTCTCTCATCTGACAGAGGAACATCTGGTCACTGTCTGCCCGGCTCTGCTCAACCAAGCTGTACTGCCACCCTGTTCAACTGAACCTCCAGTACACAGTGACACTGATCTGCGTGGTGAGTCTTCATCTACTGAACTGAATTCCTAATCTATACAGTAGTCAAAGTCAAAGAGCTTACTCCTGATGTAAACTAGCATAGCCTACATTTCAGTTTCATATCCTCTAGTGTGAATCATGGCAGAGAATGATGGGAAGTTTGCCACCTGAAATAAGTTACATATAAAGTGAATAATGAAAATCTCAGAAGAGGCAAAAAAGAATTAGGCCTATGCATGATTTAAATTTGTATTTTTTTGTATTAGTACTATTTTTTGAAAGTATTTTATGCTTACTTCAGTAAATATTAAAACAACACTATATAAAAGTAAGTATTTACATAATAGTAAACATATACTGTATTGCGGTAATGAAAATCACAGCTGAGAATAATAGCAATTACAGACAATTGTGTTTGTTACAAAGCTGTAATCTTTCTTTAAGTAAAACACAACTTCCCATCAAGTTAGTGCAAAACAAGCTTAGACAATATATGACTAATAATGTATTATTTAAATTAGTATTTTTTGTTTTAGTGTTATTTGTGTACTGCTTTTATGCTTATTTAATAAAAAAAATAACACTGTGCATGTTTTACTATAATAATGAAAATCACTTTTGAGAATTATGACAATTACATACAGTTGTGTGTTGTTGTCTTTAAAACAATGCCACAAAACTAAAAATCTTTCTTTATGCAAAATATTTCTATTAATGCAAAACAATCTCAGAAGTTGAAAAATAATTATATATTATTTAACTGTATTAGTGCAATATTGATTTTATTCTCATTTAAAAACAACTATAATAAGAATATACTGTATTACAGTAATGAAAATCACAGTTGAGAATAATGGCAATTGCAGACAATTGTCTAATTGGCTTAATAATTTAACAAAGCTAAAGCCTTCTTTTATGCATAATAGTGCTATTTTTTATTTTAAATAAATATAAACTTAAAACATATTATATAATAAATTATAGACGATTGTTTCTTTGTTTCAATAACTCTCAATCACAGTTATTATAGTTAACTAAAATCATTAGTCACGTAATTAAAAAATGTGTTACTTGAAATAAACATGAACTGAAATAAAGTGTATAAAAACTCCAACTTGTTTTTTTTTAGCTAGTTGCCAAGGCAAAATTGATCTTTTTCATTTAGTTTAACAATGTACTCATTTAATTAAAAGTAAAATAAAAACTATTTAAAACTATATGGACATATTGATATATATATAAAAAACCTAATAAAAATGTCAAACACAAAAAAATAATTACTAAAACATTAAATAAAATTCAAATGAAAGTGAAAAATATAAAAACAAAAAGCTATTCAAATTATCTTTAAAAACTATAATATCTCAATAATACTCAAATATTAACTAAAAAACACTTATTTTAATGCAAAACAAAACAATATTTTACTATAATAGAGTAAAAATGTACTGTTTTACAGTAGTGAAAATATCACGAAGCAAAAATCTTTATGCAAAACACAATTTTCTTTATTTAAACCTAACCTGAAAAGACATTACATATTACATTGTTATTTTTATACATATATTATTTTTATATAGCTTTTTTTGCTTATTTTTTTAAAAACAAAGCTGTGTATCAGTATAATAGTATAATAAAGCACTGTAATAAAGTAATGAAAATAAGATAACTGTTGAGAATAAGGGCGATTGCAGACAATTATGATTAGCCGTCTTAAAAATAACACCACAAAGTAAAACTCTTTTTTTTTTTTAATGCAAAACAATTTCCTTTTTGAGGTGAAATGTGATTTACCCTTATGTATAATTGTAGCTGTGTGAGCTCTCCCCTCTCTTTCTGCACACAGTATGGGGATTTGGCTTCTTGGCAGTTACCATCATTAATCTGGCCTCACTGTTGGGTCTGACTCTCATTCCCGTAACTAAAAAGCCCTACTTCCCCAAAGTGCTCACATACTTCATTGGTCTAGCTGTTGGCACGCTCTTCTCCAATGCTGCTCTCCAACTTATACCTGAGGTGAAATGCTTTTCCATTTCTCAGTTTATCGCTAGGGATGCAACGATTATAGATTTTGTTGGTACAATTATTGTCTGAGGAATAATCACGGTTTTACGATTATGACGATTATTATGCATTTATTCATTTCCCAACATTACCAATGTATAAAATCACATGAAGACTCTTTAGATATTAAAGAGTTACTTATTGCTGGCTTTTGAAACAGAAATAACACAGTAACCAACAATACAGCAAAAAATAATAATAAAAGACAAACAAAAGTCCATCTCTCCCATTGGAATTAAAAAAAAGGTGGCCTCTGCTCTGTAAACATCCATGACAGTATTTCTCTTTTGAAAATAACAAATGGAAGTAGATCGCAAAAGTATTTAATGTTTTCAGTTTGTACATTCTTTACATTTCTTTTGGACCTGGGGTAGAGACTTTGGAAACATGGTGAAAAAAAATATTGTTGGTTTTACTTATGAATAATACTACAACAGGGATAGTAAATAACAAAGTTAATGAAGTAGCCTATAATTAATATATGACTACTATTAAATGTATTTGTCCCACAGGGGAAACTGTTACTAATGATGGAAATAAACTGAAATATTGTAATCAACTTTCATTCATACGTAGCCTATTCATTGTAATAATCTTTATAATAATTCATATGATTTTTCATGTGGCCTGAGAAAATCATGTCTATTATTTTGGTTTGTGAGATCGCGCTGCGCACTTGTACAAACATTCAGGAGGACACAAACTTCTTGAGAATGCTGTCCCGCGACTTTTATTAATAAAATAGATTAAATAGCTTACTGGAGAGACGCACAGACACAGTTAGGCTAATTCACACAGGCAACTGTCACCTCTCTCTCTCTCTCTCTTGAATAATTAATTCAAGTAGCTAAATGTTATAATTCATTCATTCAAATAAATGTGATCTTATACCGCACTATTTCATCTCTTTCTGATCTGAAGCGGGCAGAATGCGGAGCTAACGAGCTGTAGCTTCGCATCAGGTGGTTCTTGCCTTCACGTCGTGCATTAAAATCGTTAAATGTACAGCTAGCCGTGCATTATCCCTTATGTATTCACTCTTTAGCAGCAGTTTTTTTTACAGCAATATTTAAATGACACCCTGGTCATTCTTGGTGTACCCAAAATGGTCCCACACTATCGACAGGCATTTCTCTGGTGGAAATAAAGCTTCATTGTTTGGTTCCTCTGTCACAGTTCATCTAATGCATGTAGTAGCCTCCGTGCCTCTGATAAGCACGTCATTTTAAGCTGGTGCACCGCTAGTGTAACTTTTTTCGTTTTGCGCAAGCTGCTACAGTTCCGTTCCGTGTAACAGAAACACTCGGTTTAGTGGAACCTTTACGATTAATTAACCGTGACGTTTTAAAGCGCGGTTAATCATGAAACCGGTTAATCACTGCATCCCTATTTATCGCATTCACATAGTTCAGAGTTTGCATTCGTCCCCTGGAAGCTTTCTTCAAGTCATTTTGGTCAGTTTAGGACAGTCTTCTAAGAGCTTGTTGGCAAGGTCACACTGGTGGCACAACAGGATTATGAAGCCAGTAACCTGCACTGGATCATTCTTGCTTCATAGAAATCAACCTCCAGTTATACATCTTTAATTGCCTTCTTATCAGCACCATGATGCTGATGCAGATTATTTATGCTTAAAATTATTGCATAATAATAAAATGCAAATGCTCTTTGAACTGGACTCATTCATTCGTTTTTATTAGGGATGCACGATATATCGGCCACCATATCGGTATCGGCCGATAAATGCTAATTTTTTCTGTTATCGGTATCGGCCTGATAAGAAAATTTGGCCGATATCTTAAAGCCGATAAATAATGCATTATTTCCTTCAGAGACACTTCAGATGCGTGCTGTTCGTTTGCAGCCTTTTGTGCAATTGTACATTGTAATATTGTGTTTATTTGATGTATATCTGATTTATCTCATATAGAATGCGTTTGGTTAAGTTAAAAGAGCGCTTCAGTTTACCGGTGATCATCTTTAGCTCAGCACACGCAGCCCAAACAGCAGTGCACAACATTAATAACTATGATTGGGAATGTCGTGTATATAAAATTCTAATGAGAACATTATTTTTCTAGAAGAGTGCAAATGCTGCAAATGTTTCTTGATATGTGATGACATGATGGTTGCATGACGTGACGTTCGTTTGGCAATGGTTACATGTTGTAATATTTATTTTGGGTTTGCAGTTTAACTTTAATAATGTGCATGTGTACACAGTGACCTCTGGCTATCTGGTTTTAACTTGCTCAAAGACACATGATTACTTCCTCTAATTGAACAGGCCTTTGGATTTGACCCAAAAGCAGACGGTTACGTTCTCCAAGCTGTTGGGATCTTTGGAGGATTCTATGCGCTGTACGTCACTGAAAAAATCCTGAGGATAGTCCTGAAACCAGAACATGAGGTGGGTCCATCTCAGAATTATGAAGACTGAACGTTCGAATGTTGGATTCATGTGATCTCTTCATTAATTTTGTAAACTTTATATAATTTAAAACTAATCAACAATAGTCAAAGAGATAATTGCATGGCTCTCTGGAATACTTGACTCTGATCCTGGTCAGTCACAGCATTCTGCAGTCAAAAATTATCAAAAAAGTGATATTTCACTTTGCGTGATTTTTTCATATGCAATAAAATATTTACACTCAAACCAATATAACATGTTTGATATTTGATAAATACAGTAGTTGCATAATAAGCAGGATAGTGCACAGTCAGCTGGTCATTATCGCTAAACCAATTCCTTCAGCGTGATAAAACGTTTATTTTGTGATGATAAACTATTGACTCTATATTATCTCATACTTATAATTCCAATTAACTGCAAGCAAATAGCAAAGCTTCCTTAATGGTAAATGTCAGATGTATATTAGCATGTAGGTTCTTTTACACCATATGCAGTAATCATATGATTCATTTTCGAACCCTGAATTTCGCAGGGCCACGGACACAGTCACTTCCAGCCCATGGAGGGCATCCAACAGAATGGCGCCATCAATACGGTGGATTCTGACTTCAACTTTGCCAGTAGTGACAAAGCAAGCATAACCTCTGACCCTCCAGTGGAGCAGGTACAACTGGTCAGATCTCACAAAAATTACACATAATGCCAAGAGATATGCAAATGGCCTAAATATAGCCATAAGTTACATAAGCAGTATAAAAATAGCTAACAGTTTGGGAAAATAATGATTTGTTCCCACATGAAATGGTAAATGTAATATAGTAAAACTACATTTTTTACATTTTCAGTGTGAGTGGTGCTTGCCCATGACAATTGCTTACTGATCCAAGTATAATATTAAAAGTAAAGTATAATATAAAATAAATACACTACTGTTCACAAGTTTGGGGTCAGTAGGATTTTAAAAAATTTTTTTTATAAATGAATTAAAACTTATATTCAGCAAGGACACATTAAATCATGGGTGACAAAGACATTTATAATGTAACTAAATATTTCCATTTAAAAAATGCTAACTTTTCATCAAACCAAAAAAAAAAAACGTGTCATTGTTTACTTTTTTTGAGCAGCAAATCAATGGAGTAATGACAGCTGGAAGTTCAGCTTGGCATCACAGGAATCAATTTCATTTTAAAATATATTCAAATATAAAATATTATTTTAAATTGCAATAATATTTCGCAATATTACTGTTTTAATATTTTTGATCAAATAAATGCAGCCTTGGTAAACATGAGACTTCTTTCTAAAACATCTTACCAATCAGAAAAATCTGACCAACCCCAAACTTTTGACGGGTAGTATACATATAAAAATAAATATGTGATATAAATAGGCCAGCCATTCCCACTTGAAATGAAGCTAAAACTACTTGTGAACTACATGGTGAATTTGTTGTAGATTTTTAAATTTTCTGTGGTGCTTGTCCATGCAAAAAAAACAAGATGCAAATGAATTGCGTTGCATTTGCTAAGGTGTTCTGGGTGGTTGCACGCTCTTAAAGAGCCCACCTCCTCAAGTCTCTATGATAGTCTGCTCTCTATAAAGGGTGCAGGAACCTCCTCAAATGTAAGTTTGCAGGATTTTGTGCTTACTTTTGTGCAGTCTTAATGTCTGCAGCACGAACTGTGCAGGAAAATGTATGCACCAAATTTTAAAACGAATAATTTGATTTGTTATCGTATAGATTTATTCAAATCCCCATATAAGCAATTATATCAGTAATGCTTGGATTAACAAACACCTCTAATTTTATGATATCTGTAAAGACTGCTTGATTATCACAGCAGTAAGCAATTTAAGATTACTTGAAAGTGTCTGTCATTATCAAACAGAGATAAATAATTATTTGTCATGATGACCAGGCTGTTACAGAATATTGGGTCATAACAGTTCTCCTTCAGCAAGATCAAATAAAGCCCCTAATCAGCTGTTTAAGTGTCATTAGCATGTAACACAACATGACTGGAGTGTTTGGAGTTTTAAAAAGCAGTTTTCTGGTACAGAATTAAGTAGTTGATAGCGTGCAGGTCAGTGCAACTTACAGTCGAGCCGTAGAGACACACACAGCTGTGTTTACTTTCATCTGTCACAGCTGCCAGCAGAAACATGATCGTCTTCTGCCCTTTGACCTACATCACGAGCACCATGCAATTGGGATCGTCATTTCGCCCCTGCAACAATACAAAAAGTTAGACCTCGGGGCTGAAAGTAAATAGTGTTTGAAATATGAACCCAGGGTTGAAGCTCAAGAGATGTTGTTACAGTACGAAATTAGGTTTTAATTTAGATGTGAACGTCGTTGCAGGGGTCCTGCAGATGGCTCAGAGGAAGACGGCTGGCCAGCGTGAAGACTGTGGCATGGATGATTTCCCTCAGCGATGCTCTCCACAACTTCATTGACGGACTGGCCATCGGCGCTTCGTTCACCGTGTCTGTTCTCAGCGGCTTTAGCACTTCTATCGCTATCGTCTGTGAGGAATTCCCTCATGAGCTGGGTAAGAAAAATACGGACTCATTTACCCAACCGGAAATGTTGTCAGCTGCGCCAAACCACCTCTGTGACTGGCTGCTGCCCTTGTGAAGCACATTTGTGTTCCGTCTCCCCATGTAGGCGACTTTATTATCCTGCTGAACGCAGGGTTGAGCGTTCCACAGGCCGTCTTCTTCAACCTGCTGTCTGCTATGTCCTGCTACTTGGGCCTGGTCCTGGGCATCTTGTTGGGTAGCACTTTTGCGCCCAGCATCATCTTTGCCTTTGCTGGTGGCATGTTCCTTTACATCGCCTTGGCTGATATGGTAAGAGCAGTGTGGTTTAGAAAGCACATAACGTTTTATCAACATTTATTAATAAATTAATATTTTTATTCTGTATGAACACATTAAGTTGATCAGAAGTGGCAGTAAAGACATTTAGAATGTTGGAAAAGATTTCTATTTTAACTGCAAAAATGCTATTCTTAGATGTCATTTTCTAGTACACATAAAAAAAACAACAAATAGTCTTAAGTTCCATTTACTTGAGAAACAAACGATGCGAGATATTACATCTTGTTTTTCTAAATAATTTATCAAAATTAAGTGAGTTTTTATGCTTAAAGGGGTCATATGATGCGATTTCCTTTTCCTTTCTCTTTGGAGTGTTACAAGCTGATTATGCATAGATAAGATCCCTGAAGTTGCAAAGACTAAAGTCTCACAACCAAAGAGATATTCTTTAGCAAAGTTAAGACTGCCACGCCCCCACATATCTACCTCACTATGTGGAAATATTAGCATAATGCCACCCAAATGTGCACGCAAAGAAAGAAGGCGGGGTTTCGTTAAAATAGTATTTATATATATACTGTGTATATATATATATATATTTTTTTTTTTTAAATATAATTTGTACATGAATGGCTTAAGCAAAGCAAATGTGTTCACATCTGAGATTCATTTTAGCATTTATATAAAATAACTAAACTATAGCTGAACTTTATTGAGGGGATATTGTTCCTCTTAGCATCATGAAAAAAAAAAACCTTTTATTAAAATTCTGAATGTATTACAGATAGCCTAGAATACATGCAAAGAGTGCTCCCTTTATCATTTCAAATGCACTGAGCCCGTCACTCATCTCAGTTCACCGGTTCAACGGACGGGTCTGTGATTGGCTACACTGCTCAATGCTGCAAACTTTGTAAATAGAAACATCTGATGCTCTCCAGAGTGGAAATGCACAGAAGAGTTTGCCAAATATCGTATTACAGTTTCAACTAAGGGTGCTTTTTTTTTTTTTTGTGAGAGTGTTTAGCTCCATAAATTGGGCGTGATACGATAAACTGCTTTCCATATGGATTTAATATGTAATGTTACTTAAATACGGGAACAGTTGGCAATCCCACTATGCATGTTTTAAACACTTAGATGTTCTTTGGCCATGCATTAAATGCACGTCCTTGAAAGAGCGCAGTTTGCTGACGTATTTGCACTAACTTCTCAGGTAATGTCCGTGGTATGATGACAATGACAGTGATTAGCCTACATCAAATATATTTTAATTGTTTGATCAAAATTATTGCTAGGAACAATTCAGTTGCACCCCTACTAAATGTTATGTCCTTGAATTGAAGGAATTTTTTATGAACAAATTTGGGGGAAAAAATAATAAATGTTTCCAAAGTCTAATGTAGTCTGTGATAGATCTCGTTATCTGCCTCAGGCAACAGCAGCACAGAGCATGAATTAAATGAACATTTCTTCACTTTAATACATAACATGAATGTACATCAGAGGATATGTTGAAAATAAAGTACAAACTACAATCACATAATGTTTGCTATAGGAACAATTCAGTTGTGCCCCTACTAAATTCTATGTCCTTGAATTGAAGGAATTTTTTATGAACAAATTTGGGGGAAAAAATAATAAATGTTTCCAAAGTCTAATGTAGTCTGTGATAGATCTCGTTATCTGCCTCAGGCAACAGCAGCACAGAGCATGAATTAAATGAACATTTCTTCACTTTAATACATAACATGAATGTACATCAGAGGATATGTTGAAAAATAAAGTCACAAAATAAACTTACAATCACGCATTTCTGTGCCTATAAGCTGTTTTATTTATTTTATTTATTAACAGGTGTGAATATATGTTATAGCACTTGTATATCATTTATATATATAAAAAAAAAGTTCACAATGTTTGTCATTTAATTTTCTTATTTTACATAAAACGGTTTCGTTTTGTGCTCAAATTTATTATATTGTAAACATTGTTTTAAATTATGTGCTGGTATTACCTTATGAACTGTGATTACATTATAATTTGTCACAGTGTGTTCATAATGTAATACATTTCTCATACAATAACATTACATTATGTGAAAAATTGTTATTACATTGAAAAATTATTACATTATGAGCTCAAGATTTTATTACATTTTGAGAAAATTATTACATTATGAACATTTTATTACAATAATAATGTAATACTTATTACATTATGTGCTGTTATTACATTATGAGTTGCTACAATATCTTTGTATCTTGATATATGATAGGAAGATAGGAATGGAAAACAAGAAAAAAATCTATTTTTTGCTTTGCAGTGAAATAAATGCTGTCCTTTTTTATTTTCTTTTTCAAGAGTACTGAGAAAAAAAAGCATTCCACTAAAATATTCTGCAGCACAACTGTTTTCAACATTCATAATCATAAGAAATGTTTCTTGAGTGGCAAATCAGTACATTAGAATGCTTTTTAAAGGATCATGTGACACTAAAGACTGGAGTAATGACTGCTTTGCTTTCACAGAAATAAATTATATTTTTTAAATACATTAAAATAGTAAACACTTATTTGAATATTTTACTGTATTTTTGATCAAATAAATGCAGCTTGTTGAGCATAAAATACTTTTAAAAATATTTTTAAACCCTTAAATTTGTGAATGGAACAGTATTTCAATGCTTATCGTTTTTGTTGTTAATCACTTATTTACTTATAACGATTCGTGTTTTTTTTTCTTATGACTTGAGCTAAATAAGAAACATTATGTTACCATATTTGTCAGAATTTATTGCTGCTTTGTAACGATCCTGACCAATCATTCTGGTCCTATATTGACACCTAGAGGCATGGAGGCAGCCTCAAAAAGTAGTTTTTATTACAGATGCATTATAGAAACATTGTTTGCCTTAGTAATGCATTCTATGATAAATAACAGGGGCGTTAATGAGATAAAGTGAGCAGTATTAAATTGGTCATCAGCTCTAAAAGACCTAGAACAGCACGGTTCTACTTCATAGTCACTGAACCAGCAGACCAAACAGAATGGCATAGAGTTAAACACACACATACGGCAATACCGTGGTAGTTCTAGAAGCACTTATATGAGGCACTAAATGCAGAGCTCGGGCCAAACCACACCACAGAACAGCACGTTAACCCGAGGGGTTGTCCTGGCAACAGGCACGACTACTGCAGAAATCACCACTGTACACATCGCTGGCAAATGAACGACACAAGCGAGGGCAAATCAGCGAGAGAAGACTGCATCTTCATCTTGGATCTGTCATTGAACTAAAAAGCCACTGAGACCTAAACCAACGGTCATAGTATATATAACAATGATCTGCATTATATTAGCTGAATGAAATCAAATACTTTTTTCTTACTAATTTAGGGCCCTATGAAATCTATTTAATTTTTTCATTTACATTTTTTCTAGACTCTGTTTTAATGATTAAATGAAATTTTATTCATTCAAAATCATGTCAAATTAATTGAAATCATGAAACGTACAATATTAAACAGCAATTTATTAAAAGTACATTTTTAAGGGCCTATGAAATAGGTTTTGTTTTTTCTCAAATTCAGTTTTATTTATTTTTTTTACCAAATCCTGTTTTCTATTAATTTTCTGGATTCCATTTTAATAGCTTCATTTAAATATGAATAATCAAAAGCATATCTAATTAATTGATTTTATACTACAAAATGTATTATTTTATTTTATTAATTTTTCCAGAAATACTGTGCTGTGCACTTACAATTTTCTGCTAAATAAATTCTGGTAAAAAAAATGTTCTGGTAAATATTCCTTTCAAAATAATACCTACGAAATGTACCAGATTTAAATATTCATGCATTTATTATTATTATTATCATCATCATCATGAATTTATTGCTGCTTTGTAACAATCCTGACCAATCATTCTGGTCCTATATTGACACCTAGAGGCATGGAGGCAGCCTCAAAAATATGAAAATAATGTCAAAATGAAAAAGAAAAAAAACAACATTATTGGTCCTAAAATGGTCCTATAATTTAAAATTATTATTGAGATTTTTGTTCTTTTGATTTTTTGGGGTGAAATGTGACGTGTTTTCATGCAATTCACCCTATTAGGAGGCACATCAGCTCTAAAAGACCTAGAACAGCACGGTTCTACTTCATAGTCACTGAACCAGCAGACCAAACAGAATGGCATAGAGTTAAACACACACATACGGCAATACCGTGGTAGTTCTAGAAGCACTTATATGAGGCACTAAACGCAGAGCTCGGGCCAAACCACACCACAGAACAGCACGTTAACCCGAGGGGTTGTCCTGGCAACAGGCACGACTACTGCAGAAATCACCACTGTACACATCGCTGGCAAATGAACGACACAAGCGAGGGCAAATCAGCGAGAGAAGACTGCATCTTCATCTTGGATCTGTCATTGAACTAAAAAGCCACTGAGACCTAAACCAACGGTCATAGTATATATAACAATGATCTGCATTATATTAGCTGAATGAAATCAAATACTTTTTTCTTACTAATTTAGGGCCCTATGAAATCTATTTTATTTTTTCATTTACATTTTTCTAGACTCTGTTTTAATGATTAAATGAAATTTTATTCATTCAAAATCATGTCAAATTAATTGAAATCATGAAACGTACAATATTAAACAGCAATTTATTAAAAGTACATTTTTAAGGGCCTATGAAATAGGTTTTGTTTTTTCTCAAATTCGGTTTTATTTATTTTTTTTACCAAATCCTGTTTTCTATTAATTTTCTGGATTCCATTTTAATAGCTTCATTTAAATATGAATAATCAAAAGCATATCTAATTAATTGATTTTATACTACAAAATGTATTATTTTATTTTATTAATTTTTCCAGAAATACTGTGCTGTGCACTTACAATTTTCTGCTAAATAAATTCTGGTAAAAAAAATGTTCTGGTAAATATTCCTTTCAAAATAATTTTTTAATAATAATTGTATAATTAGTAGTAGTACTATCATTACATTAAGTAATATTTCTGTCACAGTTTCTTCAAGTTAAACCAAACTTTTATTTTGATGGGTTTCTGTGAAGACCTTTAGGTTTCTGTTTGTATATGATATGACGATAGCTCAAGTGACTCTCAGAGCAGTTGTAGAGATTATATTCATGTACTCCTATATTGAGGCAGCAGAGGCTGAAAACACAGCGAGTGTCACATGCGCTTCAGTATGTGTAGTAAACCAAACCGTGCGTCTGCGTCATTCATTCACACAGAGACATGCAGGATTCATATTTAAATAGTATTTTTGCGGCTTAATATTCACAGACACTAGTCCATATTACGGTTTGATTTAAGTGTACTGACCTACTTTTGATTTATCCATACTAAATTTGGCAAATTCTGTGACATTCCGCGTTATACAGTAAATTCTGTTTTTATTACTGGATTCTGCGATTCTGTTCGCGTTTTCCACATTGCAGAAATCATAGGGCCCTACTAATTTTGCGGTGCTGATTCCAAAAACAGTGTCTGTTTTGCTCTAGCATGTCACACTTTCTCACAAAAGGCATGCATTTTGTGGCATCTGTGTTAAATTCAATATGGCATCCAATCTGATTATGGTCTATTCCGAATATTCCGAGACACAATCCATGAAGTGCAGGATGAAAAGTCTTTGGGCGAGCTTGGCAGAACTTGATTCTCAGAGTGATGTGTGCCGGTGAGACGAGGTAGATGAAGTCAGACAGTCGTCCCGTTGGTGGCCGAGGCTGCACCCTGCATCCAGCACGTTTACAGGGCAACAGCCTGCCAATAATGCAAGCATGATGGGGAGTGGAGTGTCTAACCGATCATACATACAATATCTAAGGCCAGCCTCATGAATCCAGGGCTGACCAGTCACTGTACAGAAACCACATATACACTAGCCAATATATTACAGCACTGCGCTCGCCTCTAGTTTTAGCTTTACAATAGGACGAGTAGCTTTACACGACTGTCTACTTAATGTCAGGTAACAGTAAAATATTTACTTACTTACAAATCAATGCTTTCACAAGAACATGATAAAGCTATGCTGGCTTAAAGGTTCATATAACCAGTTACTGGCACCATGTTAAAATACCGCATATGCTACGTGATCTTGCATGGAATGTTTTATCAAGTATCGTACGCATTATATTACTATTAACACCAAACGTGGTGCATATGTCCACAAACATTGTAGGGAATTTACAAACATTCATCCTTCGTAAAATCAACAACTCTTTTAAGCATTTCACAGTATTATTCGGTACCACACACGTTCAAAAAGCTATTGATATTCATCCGTCTTTTACAAAACGGCTGTGATGATGCCACATTGTTTCTCGTGCATGATTATGCCGCCAGTCTCACAGCTGAGAAAGCTACAAAATTGATATACAAAGACAATTATCTCTCCCCCATCCACTTGTACAATCAAATGTGCTCTTAATGAAGAACTGGAGTCGTTTGTACATTTATACTGCATTGTTTTAGTTCAGATACTTGTGGAAAGCTACTAGGGGGCTGCTATTGCAAATTAGGGCTGTCAAAAAAAATCGAATTTCGAATATTCGTCGAATTTAAAATAAAAATCCACATTCGAATGCAAAAACGTTGCATTCTAATTTTAGGTGTGCGTTAAGGAGGCAGCCTTATCAGTGGCACACGAGATGCGATGACGATGTAAGTCTCGTTGCATTTTAATGTTTTTGTTATCCTGTCCAGTTGAACCCACTGGATGCGGCACTGCTGCATTGTTCATTAAAAATATTGCGGAAAAAGAGAACATCAATGCGGAGTAATTGTTGTTTACGTCAAAACTGAAACCAAGCCGTTCACACAGAACACATATTTCGCGCATTTTCTAGAGGGACATCTATCACCGTTGCACTCGCATCTTGCACAAAAGAGCCGCATGTTTAGAAAGCCATGTAAACTTAATGCAAGTTCAACTTTTAAAACATATCTGGAGACTTTAATTGGGATGGGGTTTTCCCCATCCCACTGCAACTGGTGTTTTTAAATGAAAAATGTACTCTGCACCCTCTTGTGGCCTCAGAAGAGAAGCCAAAAGCTTTTCTCCACCTTAACTGAAATTATGCACTTTAAATTTGAATATAATTATTAATAATATTTAAGTATAAAATTCAAATGTAGTTTTTCAGCCATTTTGACAGCCCTATTGCAAATAAACCTCAAGTAAGACATTAATCATTATAAAGACGAAAAATGATCAGGTGAGTCACAGTATGTACCATAAACCAAAAAGGCCATCGTCACATACAAACTTGGCAAACTTGATAATAACTTGGCGATGTTCACAAAACGGTATTTTTTGGCATTTGTGATGAGCGCAATGTGATTAAATATTGGTGCCATAGCATTTCAGTGATGGACCCTGCACCCTCTTGTGGCCTCAGAAGAGAAGCCAAAAGCTTTTCTCCACCGTAACTGAAATTATGCACTTTAAATTTGAATATAATTATTAATAATATTTAAGTATAAAATTCAAATGTAGTTTTTCAGCCATTTTGACAGCCCTATTGCAAATAAACCTCAAGTAAGACATTAATCATTATAAAGACGAAAAATGATCAGGTGAGTCACAGTATGTACCATAAACCAAAAAGGCCATCGTCACATACAAACTTGGCAAACTTGATAATAACTTGGCGATGTTCACAAAACGGTATTTTTTGGCATTTGTGATGAGCGCAATGTGATTAAATATTGGTGCCATAGCATTTCAGTGATGGACTACTTTAAGACAATATTCCCGTTGAAAAGATGATGCGGTTTGGCAATCAAAACAAAACCAACAATAATATCTAAGGCAAAAACAGGCCGAGGGCAGCTAGAGTCCTGAGAAACAGACTGCAGTGCTATCGTCAGACGGGGCGTTTGGACACTACAGACTATGAGATGATAGAGATGTATACGTAACACATTCTAGTTCAGCTAAAGTAATGTTGATTTCCCACCCAGATTGTAACAAAGAACAGAGGACAGACTAAAAGAAAAGTTGTCAAGGAAACAGTAAAGGGCTGTCAATGAACTGTTTGTGCGGTTTGTCACTGCCCACCATCACTGGGAGCTGGACTGTCGGAACGGCCTTCCTTCAAACTGCCTGATTGTTTCTTCTGCTTGGTCTTGGACTTTCTCAGCATGCAAACCTAAAAAAGAAAACAAAAGCCTTTTTAAATATACAGAACTTTATATCAGAACTGAAGGCTAACAGATGGTGAGAAAGCAAAATTCTGAAACTGAATGATCTTTGGTTCTATTAACAATTCTGGAACATCTGCATTCTTCCACCGGAGAAGAAACACTTTTGCAATCAATTGTGAAAAAACAAAAGAGGCCACGATGTGAATTACAAATCGAACTGTGGGGAACACATGTCTCATGAATATTTAATGAGGCTTACTTAGTGACCTTTCTTGAGTGTTAATTTCAGATCTAGGATATTTCACCTCATAATGTTGTGTTGTCTTTATACTGCTAAACAGCTAAAGTGAACCAAGCAGACAAAGTGGGGTATGAATGAGTTAAAAGTATATAAAAGCACCTTTGGTCCAGCAGCTGAGATGATGATCTGTCCAGGTGATTGTATCCAGGGCTCTCCATCCACCTGCACTGGAATGGGTTTGTTCACAGTGATACGAATGTAGCTGCCCTGAGCGATACGAATCCCAGAACGCATCCCACTCTGAACCTGACCCTAAAGAAAAAAAAAAAGTATAATTCATTAATCAATGTCAAAACAGAATATGCAACACAATTCAAATCCGCACCAATAAATCAATTCTGTTTAATAAACAATATACAGTAAACAATTTTTATAAAACAAATTTCGGCAAACAGTTTTTTGGCAAAACTTAATACTTGTATTCAGCAATGACACATTAAATTGATCAAACGTGACAGTAAAGATATTTACAATGTTATAAAAGATTTCTATTTTAAATAAATGCTGTTGTTTTGAGCTGAAAGAAAAGTGTCACTGATTCCACAAGAATATTAAGCACCACAACTGTTTTCAACATTGATAATAATAATAAGCACCAAATCAGCATATTAAAGTGATTTTTGAAAGATCATGTGACACAGAAGGCTGGAGTAATGGCTGCTGAAAATTCATATCATGAAAAAGATATTATTAATTGTAATCATATTTTTATTATTATAAAATAGAATAGAATTTTGTCAAAAACATGACAAAACCTTGCCAAACTAAAACGGTTCTTAAATGTGAAGTGTCCAAAAAAAAAAAAAAAAAGAGAGAGAGAGCATCAGAACTCACCATGTGCACCACACCAGTAACTCCCACCACCTCCAGCATCCCATCATCTATCCTTGGCCGCCCAAACCGAGACTCGCTGTCTGAGCCCCACAGGTCAGCGCCAGAACCCCAGCTAGACACATACAGCAGCTTTAGTCTTCAACAGCAAACTCAGGTGTGTGGAAGCGTCACAAAGGAAGTGACTTTACTAACATTGTGTGAAACTGATACCTGGGAATATTGAGGAATATCAGTCCCTCTATACTGGGCAGTTCCACGTCGTGTTTGTCCACTTGCATTCTGATGTCTTTATGAAGGTTTCGTGTGTGACTCAACTTCTGCAGGCCCACCTTTACATACACACCTTTATTGTGGAACCTGCAAGAACAATGACAAAATCAAATTCCACATGCACACCCCACCCTCACACTAACTGTTAGACACATGGCCACACTTTTGAGGTGAAATAACAATACTCACCTGCTATTAAACTTGTCTGGGTCCACCTCACGTGCATGATGAAAGTCCAGACTCAGCTCAGCATCAATTCCCAGTCCAAAATAATTATTCATGTGCACAATCTATAACACAGACAGGCACAACCCTGTTATGATTGATGCTTTACGCTAGTAACTTGCAAAAGCAGAACAAAATGCATAAAAAAATATTATATTTATTTATTAATACGTTAACATTATATATATTAAAATGTTCATTTAAAAATATATATATATACTTTTTTTTTTTAAATAATTCATTAATGATGTACCTTGGGTGGCTCTAGGAAGCCATTCTCTTTGCCATCCTCTGTCATTTCCTGTGCGTCCAGAAGAATTGTCCAGCGGTCCATTTGCACTTCCTCTGCCTCATCCACAGACAGCAGGATATTGTAGGGGTCCTCGCCGCTGTATCCCGCCCCCCATCGCAATACCCGAGCCAGATCGTTTCCTAACAAACACATGCAGCAGAACTGAGCACAAATAATAATGCTAACAATGCATTAACAAACACTAAAATATACAGGATGCTAACAAACCCTATTCAGCATTAAACACTAGAATTAATGAAGAACATTCTCTCCATCACTCACCAGTGCCCAGTGGGATGATGCCGATCGCTGGCTCAGGACAGGCGATTTTGTGCCGGATGGACTCCAGAACCCCCAGCACCCATCCCACTGTGCCGTCTCCTCCACACACCAGGATCCGAAAGTGAGGGACTTCCCTGAACGTGTGCAGCCTGTACAAAGCACATGCTCTTATATGTGAGAAGGGTAAATTGACAGCATTTATCCTTTTTTTAACAAATAGATAAAAGAAATCTTCTTGCTTCATGTGTGTTGAGCCAAAAAAGTCTTTACGAATTAACAAAAAAAAGTTGCAACTGCACACTGAATTCAATACAGACTAAAAAAATCTAGCAAAACATATTTTATTATATAAACTGCATAGTGCAAAAAGGTGCAAAGTGCAGGTGATTTAAAAGCTATTCATCCATCTGTCAGTCACAAAATCCATACATCTGGCATCATTCAAAAGGAAATTTAGTCTAACCCAGGAAGTGGTCCTCCGCTGGTCAGCTCGAACACTTGGTGAGGGTTTAGAAGTTTTCGGAAACTGTATAAGATCTCTCTGCCCTTTAATCCACCACTTTTAGGGTTGACAAAGACTAGCAAGGGGCAACTTCCTTTGACCAGCTTGCTCTGCTGTGGGGAGAGAAAATAACATTGGTTACACTTACAAGTGTTGGTGAAATGACTGTTGAATTGTACTGTAGTTTCTCTGTTGGGCACTAGAGGGCAGATGCATCTAAAGATTGGGCCAACATTATGAGCTCTATTGTTGCAATGAACAGCATGTGAAATACTGATCACATTTAAATCAATACAGGTGATTATTTTGAATAAGCGGTTGTTATATCCAATATATGGACACTTAAAAGGGACAGTTCATAAAAAAATAAAGAGATAGTTCAGTCCTTTTAGTCATTTTCCAGAAGAAAGTAAGTTTTACAGATTTGGAATGACGTAGTATTTGTTATTTGTTAAAAGAGCATATTAAATAAGTCTGTTGCAACCACAGAGTGTCATATGTACAGTATGGCTTTGCAAAAAGGTGGTGTACCATGATCTCAGGTATGACAAGTGAGTAGAGCTGTTTGCCACTTATGCTGGTGTCTTTGGCCAGCATGTAAATCCTCTCCGCCTCTGAGAAACAGCTGATCTGCAGAACCACAGCACCTGAAAACAGCACAGCAGCTCAATTATACAAACACTAACTTGTATCACACCTGGGACACAATTATTTTTACCACCTATCATGACATGATGGAATAAGACAAAGAGTAGGTTTCAGTAGGTTAGGTTCAGTAGGCTCTTTTTTTAATGAGAAATAATATATGGACACTTAAAAGGGCCAGTTCATAAAAAAATAAAGAGATAGTTCAGTCCTTTTAGTCATTTTCCAGAAGAAAGTAAGTTTTACAGATTTGGAATGACGTAGTATTTGTTATTTGTTAAAAAAAGAGCATATTAAATAAGTCTGTTGCAACCACAGAGTGTCAAATGTACAGTATGGCTTTGCATATGCTGGTGTCTTTGGCCAGCATGTAAATCCTCTCCGCCTCTGAGAAACAGCTGATCTGCAGAACCACAGCACCTGAAAACAGCACAGCAGCTCAATTATACAAACACTAACTTGTATCACACCTGGGACACAATTATTTTTACCACCTATCATGACATGATGGAATAAGACAAAGAGTAGGTTTCAGTAGGTTAGGTTCAGTAGGCTCTTTTTTTAATGAGAAATAAATTTACACTTTTATTCAGCAAAGACACGTACAATTTACCAAAAGTAACAAAGTTACAAAAAATATATATAAAAACACCTATTGTTTCAAATGCAGTTCTTTTGAGCTTCCTATTTAAATATGAATAAAAAATGTCATGGTTTCCACACTGATAATGATAATAATGTTTCTAACATTTCTTTTGTTCATTTGTTTCTTGACTGAATCAGCATATTAGAATGATTTCTGAAGGATCATGTGTCATTAACTGGTCTAATGGCTGCTAAACAGAGGAATACATTTCAAAATACATTGAAATAGACAAAAGTTCATTTAAATTGTAAAAATATTTCATATGATTGTTTACTGTATTTTTGATCAAATAAATGCAGCCTTGGTGATCATCTTTGAAAGCATTAAAAAATATATATTGACCCCTTTTCAACTTTTGAAAACAATTTATGATAATTAGCATTATATTAGTATAATTATTTAATAACATCTTTATGATAAAATATAAAATTATATATAAATATATATATTTTACTTCACTTATATGCTATATATAATATACCACAAACAAAATTGCTGTAAATATTTATAAATATTTCTTATTGAAATGTAGGAATCTTTATTGAAATATTTCTTGTTGAAACATTTATTTTGCATAATATTTACTCAATTCATAAAAACAGCACTTCTATATGTATCAGTCAAGCAGAATGGTCTATTCTGCAAATTGAAACACCCTTTGCTCCGTTTTTCACAAGTATAGCACAGTAGCGAACGACAGGAAATCATACAGAGAAGTAAAGAGAATAATAACTCTAGGTGTCAAAGAATAATAACTCTAGGTGTCAAAGCGTGTTAACTGCTACATATTTTAAGATCTCCACACAAACCAACACACTGCTGCAACAACAATATAAAAATACATTGTTGAAAGCATCAAGGCGAGTGAGCCAGTGGCCATGTGATGATTGAGAACAAACCGGCAGTTCAGAGCGTTTGTGTGCAGAACAAGGACTCTCATTTACAGAGCACTAAGAGTAGGCCAGACTGCGGCCCATGCAGTTTGTCCTGCAGCACGCACCAGCGACCTTCAGTGTTATCAAATATAGTCATGCAGTTCAGTTGTGCTCAGAACAAAGACGGACATTATGAGCCACCTCTAAAGGAGGGATGCATTTCCTGTGACGAGGAAACAGGCCGTTCTCCCACAGAACCCTATGATTTATGAATGCAGTTTCTCTTACCTTGTTCAGAGTACACGTGAGTGATGGTGACCAAATGACCTGGGTGGGGAAAGAAATACAGACACAAAATTAGTTTCTTTCTTCATCAAATCAAACTTGGAGAAATGTAACATTACATCACTTGCTCACAAATGGATCCCCTGCAGTGAATGGGTGCCGTCAGAATGAGAGTCCAAACAGCTGATAAAAACATCCCAGTAATCCAATAGTAATCCACACCTCTCCAGTCCATCAATTGTGAACACCTTGTGAAGCAAGATAAACCAATCCATAAAGACATTTTAACTTCAAACTACTGCTTCCGGGCATATATCCATAGGATTGCTCTCTTCAGTGAAAAAGTCATCTTGTCTGAATCAGGAGTCAAATATGCACATATCAAGACTGCTTAAATGGAAACAGTTGTAAACAAATATGTCGGTGGATTTTGATGTTAGAGGACAACGGGGAATGGAGTTTTTCACTGGAGGAAGCGTTATTATGGATTATAAACTCGTATTTTGCCCAGGAGCAACAATTTAAAGTTAAAATGCCTTAATTGTGGATTTGTTTTTTACAAACAAGCACTTTTCACCTCACAATACATTAATTGATGGACTGTATTTGTGTGGATTATTGTGTTGTTTTTATCAGCCGTTTGGACTCTTATTCTGGCGGCACCCATTCACTGCAGAGGATCCACTGGTGAGAAAATAATGTAATGCAAAATTTCTCCAAATCTGTTCCGATGAAGAAACAAAGTCATCTACATCTTGGATGGCCTGAGGGTGTGTACATTTCTAGCAAATTTTAATTTTTGGGTGAACTATTCCTTTAACCATCAGATCCAATCACAATAAAACGCCCAGCAGTCACTTTATCATCTGTTCGAATCCCTTCCAGCAGAGAGGCGACAGGCATATTTACGATGAGTACACAAGATGCCTTATGACAGACTTATAGGTCAGCATTGTATTGTTTAAGGACAATTTCATGAACAATTAATAAAATCCAAAGGATTTGAGCCATTTAAATCTTGAGCTTACACGTCATATGAACACACACAGACTCACTTTTGACTGAGAGGTGTTCGGATAGCAGGTGTGTGTATTCCTCTTTTTCAAGCTGTGTCGGAAAGCCTCCCAAGAGCAGATTGACTTGTGCCACTCGATTCCTGCTTTCCTCAATGTAAAACCGTGTCTGGTTCATCTGTCGCAACGATGTCTGAAAGTCACAAGCTCAGAGTTTGAGACAACCAAGAAGCTCTCATATATTCCATAACAAGCACACACACTCTAAGGCCTATCAGGGCACATCACCTTGAGTGTTTTCCAAATGGCAAGCAAAATCATCATGACCCGCCTAACATACCTTCCGTATCTCCTGCAGTTTTTCCAGTAAAATCTCCTGACCGCTGAGGACTTGCCGTTGCACTGAAGATGGATAAGAAATGAAAGGGTAAGACATTGTGAAACCCTTCCACATTTTTCAAAGCTTTTCTATGTGTTGTAAGGGTTTGCACAACAAATGCCTTTAATTAAGCCTTTAAAGAAATCTTACCTTGTTTGCTGCTCATGAAAACTTCTACAAGGTTGAAGTCAGCAGGGTTTTCATTCTATGGACATTTGCAGAAACCATGTGGATTAACATACATATTGTGCATTAAGTACATATAACTAGATTTTTGCATTTTCTGAAAAAATATATTGTGACGTTTGCCTGTGCAAATGTTTCCACTAGAATACAAGGGCGTTGCAGGTGACTGCTATGTGGTAGGCAAAAAATATTTTGCTGGTTTATGATACAGATACATGTCTTGATGTACGATACTAATACATAGGGTTAAAGGGTTTGTTTAAATAACATAAGCTGTGTTTATGAGAATTAAATGCCAAGTTACCTGTTTTTCTATTCGTAGGAGCACTTCCTTTAAGATTGAGTCTACTGTGCTGCTTTTCCCAGCAGTAACTGAGGTGACTTCAACCCTGAAACACACGTGAAAGAACTTTCCTCATTACGCCAACATTTGAATACGTTAAGCATTGAAAAACGTTCCATCCCTAGATTCACCAGTGGTCTGGCAACGTATAAATCATACACTGGTCTGCCACTGAAACTTCAGACAATGTTTTGATTTACTGTGGTCAAATATTGCATAAGAACATTAACTTTTGATTGTGGCGCTAACTGGCACCATGTGTTAAGTCTGACTCAATCCCTCCCTGACTCAAAACTGTTAATAAAACACAAAATGCTTCATTAGTTCCAGACCCGCGTTAACAAAACAAAACGCCTGATCTAATGGAAACATCAAGCACATGAGTGGCACTGCTATTGTTTTCATGAACTCTAAAGGTTTCCTGTTGAGGTTCCATCAGCATTTGTGATCCATTTCCTACTGGCATGGCAACAACATCTAAGGTAAACCATGGATGCTGTGTCACTTCATCTCTGTGGCAACGGAGACACACAACAGCAAGCTTGTCATTAGTCAGGCCATGTGCGTTTTGATGGGTTTCATATACACTTGCCCTCTCTGAGTGGTACGCGACACATCTATTGTCTATTTCCTTGCGATGTCTGGAGATGATTTATGGTTTGTTTGGAGAAGCAAGAGGACTGATGTTTCATAAAACCCTTAGATAAGTAAACTGTAAGCTAGAACTCCCCTATTTACGCAAGAACTGCACATCTTTACGATGTGTTAGCATCTAAAATTTTTAGAGCACTGTTTTGTATGTAAAATAGATTTTCCATCGTGTTCTGCTTAGCTATATAAAGTAACTATTAAATAGTGGTGTGCGATATGCATCGCCTACAAATAATAATGAAGTGCGGGCTGCAATACCATTAGAATGAGCCCAGAATTCAAGATATGGGGATCTAAATGCTGTTCTATGTGTTTTTGTTTTTATTTATATCGTTTGATATAGTTTGGCAATATCACACAAGAAAAAGTACGGCTTTCTTCGAACGTCAGCACAATTGCAAATGTTAATATTGATTTTATGCAACAGTTCAATAAGCAAGAAGTTAATATTGTGTGTTACATTTCAGACACAATAATGTCTGATGTTTGCTTTATTTCCCCAAAGAAAATAGTTGGAACATCAGAACCGTTGTGCATCTTTGAGAATCACACAGCTGTGTTTCGTTACCGAATGAATCTGTGTTTTTGAATAAATCGAGCGAGTCAGTGATTCAACGACCCATTCATAAAGACAGTGAATTAATCAGCCGTTTGAACGAATTCTTTAAATAAAGACTCAATGAATTTAACCTGTAATATTCCGTATGGATCTACGTATTTAAGACAGCTGGACAGCACAAAACAGAACAACACATATGCAATAAAAGCAGAAGTAGAGCTCACTTGCGCGAGCTGGAATAAATCTTCACCACTTCCGTTTCTTTAGGTTTTGATCTGAGCACCCAGGAATCAGACACGGTATCCTTAAATATGGGCTTGCTGTCCGGCGTGCCATTACGGTTGACGATGTCATCTGTAAACAGTCCCTGTTGGCTGTAACTCTGTAGCTCGTAATCCTGCGGTTCATCTGGGATGTAGAACGCTCTGAGGGATGCTTCCTGTCAGGACAGGAAGTATAGAAATCAGCATTATTCAACCATGGATTTATAACAACAATTCTGAGGTATATAATGTAAAAGTTTAATTCAGGTGAAACCCGATTAGGTACAAAACATCTCACCACTACTTCCTCATTCTTGATTATTCGAGGGATTGAAACCAAACGAAACTGATTCCGCTTAGCTGCATCGTCACCATCGAAAACTTTCAGCGTCTGTTTACCTGTAGGCCAAGAGGAAGGAGATTCATTTGGGCATGAGGGTGATTAGTATTACCCATGTCATTTTTGCTCAGGTTTGTACCTGTGTCAGGTGATCCCGTAGGCGGAGTTTCCTTAGAAGTTACTGGACTCGGAGTATCCACATCATCCAGGTTATCTGGAGAAAACACACTTCTCTATGAGCATTTACAGATATGTGATCTTGTTATTTGATAATCGGAGGTGAATATGACACTCTTTAACAATAAATTAAGGGGCATTAAAGGTGTAATTTTCCAACCATCTTATTTTCAAGGCTTACACATTTAATTGCAGCAAACAGTAATTAAAGCAGAACAGAATGATTTTGCTCACTGAGAATGAAGAAATGTTTCAGTTTCAATATAAGTTCAATACATCTGTGACAAGCTGTCGAGTACCACAGACAACAATTGTGACATGTCTCCCAGTTTGTAAAAACAAGTAAAAATCAAGTGTTCGGCAATGCACTTACAATGAAAATCTATGAGGCACTGCTATGGGATACAAAACACATTTCTAAAGTGTAACCACAACACCTACTAATTATGGGTGTATCATAAGATTGATCAATTTTGCAAAAATTAAATTATTTATGAATGAATTTATAATAATTTATAAAATGAAGTTATTTAAAACAAAATAAAAACAGTAATGTTGTGAAATATTTTTTATACATTTTTTAATGCAATTTATTCCTGCCGCGACAATGTTGTAATTTCAGCAGTCAATACTTCAGTCTTCAGTGTCACATGATCCTTCAGAAAGCATTCCGATATGTAGATTTGGTGAATATAAAGTTCAAAAGAACAGCATTTATTTGAAATAGAAATCTTTAACATTAACATAATCAATTCTAAATATCTTAACTGTCACTTTTGATCTATTTAATTCATCATTGCTGAATAAATGTATTCATTTCTTTTAGAAATTATTACAGACTGCAAACCTATAATTATTTGTGACTAGGGTTGGGTACCGAAACCCGGCACCGGTACCTATGTAACCGGTATGTACTAGAACCGAATCCGAACGCAGATTTCGGTGCCATGCCTGAGCGATGGATTGAAATATTTGTCCTCTGGTTCTCCGAAACGGACATAAGAAACATCATCACTGGCACCGCACGTGAAAAATAATTTCCCGACTGAGAAAATGCACGTGAACTCAAGTGGGAAAGCTCTAATAATACAAATCCAACACATCTTTGTAGTAACAAGAGTGTCCATGTTGTTTTCACATTCCGACTTAAAAGCACAACTCGGGAAATGAGCGCATCCGAGGAGAGCGTGAATGCAGTAATTACACTTGCTCTGATGACAGCAGGTAGCCTTCCGTTAACTAAGCTAAACATGCTTAAATTAAAATGCCTAAAGCTAAACTTCCCTTGTATTCACATTTCTAAACCTGTTGTCCAACAAACGATAAAATTATAACCTTTTTACTCCACAACACCAGTCAAATGCTTCCTTTTATGATCTGATGCGGCTTCTTGTCACAGAATGAGGCAGAAAATATGTTCTATATGCTACTTTAAAAAGAATACATCGATTATCAATAAATTAGGGTGACCATACGTCCTCTTTTCCCCCGGACATGTCCTCTTTTTGGACCTACAAAAATGCGTCTGGCCGGGATTTCTTAATTGCCCAAAATGTCCGGGATTCGGCTGTTTTCTTAATCCCACTCCCGCTGAATCTCTGCCCGTTGCCGCCTGCTCCCGCAACATGTGTTTCGCTCACGCGATTTTTGGGTCCACTCTTTTAAACATTCTAATATTGTTTATAATTTTGGCGCATCAGGGAGCCGCTCTCAGAATGTGGTGTATTTACATATTTTTGAATGAGCGTTTGCGCTGTTTACTTTCACTTTCAATTTCGCGATCACACGCACTCTGTGTAAAGGGAGCACATTTTACAAGATCAGATATTTGTCAATGAGCTCAGAATCTGTTGAGCAGCAAATACTCCAGCATGGTCTTGTCAGTTATCTCTCCTTATTCTCGACCTGTGATCAATCAAAACTGACTCCGGTAGATCTTGTTGGATGCAGGGATGCCAAGTCCGAGTTTTTTCCACAAAATTGGGCTACTTTTAAACTGTTGCCATGGGTTGATTTTCCCAAGTGGGTTAAAGGTTTGAAATATTGCATAAATTACATTTGACTGAAATGCTTGTATTGAAACATTTTGCATTCTACCTATGATAAAACTTTCATGGACTTCTACATTAACTGTTCCCTCCTGGTGGAATGACCTGCCCAGCTCAATCCAAGCAGCTGAGGCTTTAATATTTTCAAGAAACAGCTGAAAACACATCTCTTTCATTTTCATTTGACCCTCTAACTCTAGCACTCTCTATTCTAATGCTACTTCTAATTTTATCTGCTTGTTGTTTTTTTTATTAAAAAACTTGACCCTCTAACATTTGCACTCTCTATTCTATTTCTGTTCTAATGGCCAATCCATCATTTTTGGGGGGAGTTTTTATTTATTTATTAATTTATTTTTTAATAAGTATCGGTTCAGGCACCGTTTAGGCACCGGAACCGTTTTAAAAGTATCGATTTGGCACCGGTATCAAAAAAAGCCCAAACGATACCCAACCCTATTTGTGACCCTGGACCACAAAACCAGTCATAAGGGGCAATTTTTTTAAATTCAGATTTGTGCATCATCTAAAAGCTGAATTCATAAGCTTTCCATTGATGTATGGTTTGTTAGGATAGGACAATATTTGGCTGAGACAAAACTTTGAAAATCTGGAATCTGAGGGTGCAAAAAAAATCTAAATATTGAGAAAATCACCTTTAAAGTTGTCCAAGTGAAGTTCTTAGCAATGCATATTACTAATCAAAAATTAAGTTTTGATATATTTACGGTACGAAATTTACAAAATATATTCATGGAACATGATCTTCATTTAATATCCTCGTGATTTTTGGCATAAAAGAAAAATCTATAATTTTGACACCATACAATGTATATACATTGTTGGCTATTGCTACAAATATACCCGTGCTACTTATAACTGGTTTTGTGGTCCAGGGTCACATTTTAAGTGCATTACTATAAACACAATTTTACTTTACAAGCCTGATGTATGAGTAAAAATGCTTGTCTGTGCTAATCAACAGTGTGCCACACATGCTGTCCACAGAACTTGTTGTAAACCTGAACACTCCTTTAAGTTTAAGGTGTTTGCTTAAATTTCAGTGACAATGTGAACGTGTCCAGGCATTACCCATCTCGCTGTGGTGGGAATTTTCTGAGATTCTGTAACAGTGCATCTTGCTGAAGTTCCGTGAGCAGATCCGCACGCAGCTGGGGTGAAGAATCATGTTCTGCAACCGTCCCATGCTGCACTCTGGGGGGATGATAATGTAACATGACGCATGTGCCTGCAAACATATAAACAGATAAGTGGTTGAGCCGAGAGATTAAAAGCAATGGTACAGCTTTAAGACAATTGCAGATTTTCTAATAATGTCAACAGATTCTACATTCATTTATCCAAAGCAATATATAGGAGTATTGTCCCTGTAATAATTGTGCTGTATTAATCAGAGGTTAGGTGGTTTGCTAAAGAGCACAATGGTCTACTATTCACGGACTGACCTTTGCAGGGTTTTAACTAACAACTTCAACCTTTTGGTTACCAGTCCTGATGTTCGGCCACAAGGCAACACACCAACCCGACTCAAATAAAAGTACAGCTACAGTGAGTGAGTGTGTGTGTAAGGCCTTATGTCTTTGTTCTCAAATCCCTCTAAATCCTAGAGGTTTGTGCTTTCAAAGTATTTGTGTTGCAAATAGCCATTTCAAATATGTACCCTGCAGTCTCTGTCCTTGAAAAACCTTTTGCCCAGGCACTAGTGTTTACATCATCTACTAACAGACATGCTGAAAAACTAGTGCTGAGGAGGGGATAAAATGCACGCTAGTGTTCAGAGGGATATGGTCTGATAGCAGGAGTTAGTGCTGTGTTCAAAATAGTGATACGACGATGTATCGTCACAGAGATTTGACGATAAGAGTATCGATACAGCTGTCCCAGTATCGATATTGTGGCACGTGTGCAGCAGTGGACCACACTTAATTTTACAATGCACAGGCATCATACTACTATTTAAATTTTTAAGTCGGTAAGATTATTATTATTATTTTTTAATAAATTAAAACTTTATTCAGCAAGGATGCAATAAATTGATCTAAAGTTACAGTAAATGACAACTATAATTTTACAAAAGATTTCAATTTCAAATAAATGCTGTTATTTTGAACTAACTTTCATTTAAGAAATCCAGAATTTCTGAAATTCAGGAAGACTGTACCACGGTTTCCACAAAAATGTTTTCAACATTGATAATAATAAATGTTTATTGAGCAACAAATGGATCATGTGCCACTGAAGATTGGAGAACTGACATTTTAGACATATTAACATAAAAAACAGTTAATGTAAATTGTAATAATATTCCCACAATATTACTATTTTTTTTGACTAAAAACAAATGCATCCCTGCATTAAGAGACTTCTTTCAATAACAAACAAAACTCCAAATTTTTTAATAGGATATGTACATTCATGTTCAACCATCTTGGAATAATTTTTTTCCATTTCAGGCCATAGTAATGGTTTTGGAAGTTGATATAATTAATGTAGCTACTACCTACAGTACATTGAAACCAAGAAACCAGGTCAGGCAATAGATAAAATATCCACTGCCAAGATGACAAAGGAATAAAAAACACAGCAAGCTATGCCTGTATTCAGCTTCAACCGAGTACAATTTTGTAAGTGCTGACAGGAGCTGCATCCTACATTGCACCTGTTAAATAATAAATTGATTCATTGTGAGAGACGACAGCCTGAGAGCCCACCTATAACTAAATAATGAAGCCGTTTGTGGGGATGATGGGTTAGGAAAAAACCATGTGGCAATAACACAATCTAGAGCAATAATAAAGCTTGGGAATGTGATTTACCCAGGACAGGCTCCTGGATCAACATCCGTGTTACACTTTATGCTGTCGTTAAACAACATTCTTATCAAGCTATCATTTCCCGTCAATTTTGGGAGTAGGATAGTTTGATCTAGAATTAGAAATTATCCAATTATATAATTCTATTTATAAGTAAATCTAATTAAGACAAAATCATGTTTTAATAAGGCAAATTATTTTGAGTGCTAGGGAACAATATCAACAGTCTTCAAAATTGTTGACTAATCTAATGATTTTTCCCAAGCTAAAGACAAAAATATTTACATTTACAAATTAAGGACATTTGGAAATGTAGAAATTCATACTTTTACATCGCCTGTGTAAAAGTACAGTTGCATCAGCGTAATTTTTGAACAAAAAAGGTGTAGCAATTTATGAAGCAATGCTCACATAGAAATCTATTTAAGCAGCTTTCTGTTTGTTCAACACAATGAAATAACATGAAAAAACTAGAACATGAGCAAAACTTGCATAAGGAACTTGTATGCCCTCATGCAAAAAAAAATCTTGCTTATTCCTAAGACGATGCACTATAAATAATTATGGTTACACTTTACTTGAAGGGGTGTGCATAAGACTGACATGACACCTTCATAATCATGACATGACACCTACATAATCAAGACATGACACATGCCATGAATATGAAGGTTTTTTATGCATGTTTATGACAACCGTCATTAAGTGTCATTCGCTCAGTTATGTAATTTTTAATGCAAAGATGTCATTGTTTGAGATGTATTTGTTATGGGCTATGGTTAGGGGTAAGGGTAGGGGTAGGGTTAGGTTAGGGTAAACAGGCATCATACTACTATTTAAATTTTTAAGTCGGTAAGATTATTATTATTATTTTTTTTTTTTAAGAAATTAAAACTTTATTCAGCAAGGATGCAATAAATTGATCTAAAGTTACAGTAAATGACAACTATAATTTTACAAAAGATTTCCATTTAAAATAAATGCTGTTATTTTGAACTAACTTTCATATAAGAAATCCAGAATTTCTGAAATTCAGGAAGACTGTACCACGGTTTCCACAAAAATGTTTTCAACATTGATAATAATAAATGTTTCTTGAGCAACAAATGGATCATGTGCCACTGAAGATTGGAGAACTGACATTTTAGACATATTAACATAAAAAACAGTTAATGTAAATTGTAATAATATTCCCAAAATATTACTTTTTTTTTGACTAAAAAATAATGCATCCCTGCATTAAGAGACTTCTTTCAATAACAAACAAAACTCCACATTTTTGAATAGGATATGTACATTCATGTTCAACCATCTTGGAATAATTTTTTCCCATTTCAGGCCATAGTAATGGTTTTGGAAGTTGATATAATTAATGTAGCTACTACCTACAGTACATTGAAACCAAGAAACCAGGTCAGGCAATAGAAAAAATATCCACTGCCAAGATGACAAAGGAATAAAAAACACAGCAAGCTATGCCTGTATTCAGCTTCAACCGAGTACAATTTTGTAAGTGCTGACAGGAGCTGCATCCTACATTGCACCTGTTAAATAATAAATTGATTCATTGTGAGAGACGACAGCCTGAGAGCCCACCTATAACTAAATAATGAAGCCGTTTGTGTGATGAATCCAGCCGACAACAGGCAAACTGAAAGCGTTGAATGATAAGACAAGTATGGGTTGGGTGTACTTAAAAAAAAAAAAAAAAAAAAAAAAAAAAAAAA